CGCGTGTGCGCGGGGCGGGCGGGGGGCTCCTGCCGCCGCCGCGGGGCGTTCCGCACCGGGTGACTCATTCCCCCTATTCCCTCCTCTGTGGCTCCTCGCTGTCAGCGCTTTCCTTTCTTCCCTTTTTACTCCTTTTCTTTCTTCTTCTTTCTTTTTATTAACCGTTTGGTCTCTCCGGCGGAGCGCCGCCGCGGGGTGAGGCAGGGCCGCGCGCGAGGTGCCTCGGCGCGAGCCGGGCTCCGCGCTCGCCCCAGGTCGGGCTCAGCGCACCGGTAACCGCGCTCGGCGCGGGACGGGAGCTCCGCCGCGCTGCGCTCCGCCCGGGGAGCGCCTGAACGCTCACGTGTGCGCGTCAAACTTTGGGAGCTTCCCACGCAGGCAGGACGAATAGCAGGCTGTGAAGGTAAGCGTGGGGATTCAGGAGCCCGAGTATTAGAGAATCCGCAAGGGTTGTTTTGTTTTTTTTTTTTAAATCCTGACAATAAAATTTCACGGCAGGCTTGGTCGGCTTGATATAAATATCCCTTACAACAATAGGTTGGAAAGTCCCGTATTATTGTGTGAAATGGGATGCACTGGAGTGACTAGTTCGGTTGAGTAGTATCTGGCTCTGTGAGTGTTACCACAAAAATTACCTTCTTCGAGGATCCTAAATTAAATGTAAAAGTGTAAAAGGGGGTGTAATGGGTCTGCAGATGCAGATCCTCTCTCCCCCAGCTCCGCTCTGACAGCGGACAGTGCCAGTAGCTTTCAGAAAGATTTGGAGGACAGGACATGTATGTGGCATGGCATCTCTGTTAGCATGTGCTTTCCATCTTTGATTGCACTAATACTGGTTTAGAAGGTCCTTAAACTTCAGCATGTTTATGTGTCCTTGTGTTTAATAGTCATTGAAACCATTGAGGGACTTTAACTTCATTAAGTTGTCTAATTTAAATCTTGAGTTTGATGCTTTTAACCTCAAAAGCGTTATATGAAAATTAGTTACATAGTTGAACTGTGTGCTAATTTCTACACCCCCCTCTTTTTTTTTTTAAACCTGTATCCTCACCATTTCATCTGGCTCTTTTATTATGCAAAACGGTGAATAATTGCTCCTTGCTCTGGCTTGTGGGGGAGTGGAAATGGATGTTAAGGACCAACAATTGACGGTGAGAAGTGGGAAGAGCTGTGCTGGTAAGTAGCGGGGTGCCTGTCACAGGGAAGACAGCATTTCAGGCACCCTTTACATCAAGAGCAGTGGGAAGGGGGGCTACTGGTGGGGTGAAATACGGGGAGATCCAGAATAATGTCAGTGAAGCCCTGAGGCTTCTTGCAAAAGTTAATGGTTTGTAAGTGTTCTTAAACTTGTGTGATTTTGGGCTCGTTTGCTTTAACAACTGACTTGAGATGTTTGAGTTGTCTAGTTAAGTGTGTGGAAGGAGACCATGCTTTTTATTTTGGGTGGGGGGGAAAGGGGGGGTTAGTGTCTGTTTGCTAGATTGGGTACATCATTCATCTGAGCCAATGTAGTAATTCCTGTGCTTTCAGTGTTAGAAGTATTGTCTTGTTATATGGAAACTGCTGGTGTCCGAACCGCATTGTGACCAGGACTGCTTACTTAGACCATTGCTGTTTTGATTTCTTTCTCTGTAACATTTAATGATTAGTATAATTTGAAGGGTTATAAATGGCACGGATTATCTGTGTTGTTTTTCTGAAGTTGGAGATGCAAAGATTTTCTTCATGCCACTTTTCTAAACAGACCCAGCAATTCTTGGGCCAAAAGATCTACACTAGTAAATAGCCCAAGTCGATCCTTGCAGTAACCTAACTTTCTAGTTTGTGGACTTGTTCAGAGTGTCACAAAAGTAATTTGCTCCTTGTAAAAATGTAGTTGACATTTGCTTCAGCAAGTGTCCCTGTGAATCAGTTAGTTAGGGCTGGGATGTCTGGAGGGTGTGAGTGGGAGGCAAGCATCTTACACCCACAGAAAGTTCTTTTGTAAAGTTGTTCTTACAGAGTGTGCTGTAGTACATATGCATCAGAGCGATAGTGACATAGGTACTAGTGTGCTTAAGGTGCAGCCCGTGAGAGAGGGCCTTTGCACCTATAGGAAATGCTGTTGTGGTTAATGGAATCCTGCAGCTGATCTTGGCCAGTTTATTTCTGTATGGGTGACCAACTTTGTTCTTAAGCTGATGTCCTTAACCTTTGTGATTGAACCGAAGGAAGGCAGCTTTGAGAGAAGTTGCATTGGATGCTGCTGCCAGCTGCAGCCCAGCTCCTGCCATTGCATTTCTGTAGGTATCCACATAAATCCATCCCCGGGGTTTTAGATGCCAGCTGTATAAAAGGGGACATTGTTCCAAGTGCTCCAAAGTTCTTGTGGCTGCTGTGGGAGCAGCTGCCTCTGAGCGCTGCTGCCCAGTGCTCTGACGCTGCTCTCCTCTTCCTCCTCCTCGTGTGCGGGTGCGTGCCTGTGCCCTTTTCTGTTTCAAGTCTTTAGCCTTTCCAAGCTTTGATTTTTGTTTATATAAAACTCTACAGAAGCTGCTTGCAGATACATATGTCAAGTTGTGTTTGGACAACAATCCTAAATGACTTCAAGTCTGGCCTACTGAACGTTCTATTCTCTTCCCTCCTCTTCACATGGTTCCTTGATTTTATTTATTTATTTATTCTGTTGAGCTGCATATTCGGTGCTCTGTTAACCTCATAGGTGAGTGTGTGCAGAGAGATTGATTTAAGGCTCTTGGTTTTTTTTTTTTTTTGTGTGTGTGTGACCACTGTGTATTGGTCACTGCTGTAAATTACAGTGTTTTTAACCTTTGCTGGTAATTGTTGAAAGTATAATAGGGCTGTTTGACTTCCTTACAGGCATATAATTTGGTACATAATGTTTGTCATATAACTATAGTACTAAATATGTTAATGAACTGTTCTGGTTATTCACCTGCAGGGCCAAAAAACTTATATGTCCTAACTGTTTTTCTGGGCAAGTGAAAACTGTGTCAAAGGTTTGAGCTTTTTTTCTGTGTGTCTTTGGAGCAGTAAACAGAAACTTCTTGCTGTTCAGTCAAAGTACATGGCTTCAAGAGTGATTTCTGGTTTTGTTTGCCTTTTTGAGGGTGGGAGCATCTAGACAGATTTTATGACATCTGTTTTCCAACAAGATATATATGTATAAATATATTAATGGATGAGAGATTTGATATTGTGCTGACACTCAGGGAGAATAAAATGAAAAGCCTTCTACAAGTACAAGGACATACTGCTCAGTGGCAGAGGGCAAAACTCAGGTTGTTCATTCACAAAGGGCTGCATCTGTGAGAATATAACCTGCTCTCAGGGGTGTGTGTGCGTGTTTGTTTGTTTTAACTTCAAAACTACTGAATCAAAATGAACTATTGGTCAGCTTGACTGAACCTCTTAAACCTCCCACTTTCAGACAGGTGGACCTGTCTTTTTTTTTTTCATCCTTTAAAAAATAAATAAAATGTTATTTTTACCTTATGATGTATTGGAAAAGGTTGCTGAATACTAAGACTGTTAGTATGAGGTTCATATTCTGCTGTGCAAAGGGTCTTTTGCTTGTTCCTTGCCTGAACAGTTTTCTACCCATCTAGTCTAAAGATACTAAAAATATCATTCTCTTAATGAATCCCCACATTTAGTGTCACTGATTTTTTTTTTTTCTCTTTTTCCCTCTGAATGTCATATTTGTTGCAAATTTCTGCTGGAACTGGAATATGAGGATTATCTAACAGCGTTTATATTTCTGCATTGTCCTGTCTTTGCTTCTACAGGGACTTAGTAATTCATGTAGAGATAACTTGGTATAGAAGTAATCTAAACTTCTTACAGGAGCATGAGAGAGGAGAGGCATTTTTTTAACATAATCTAATTTGTTACCACAAGTTAAGTGTTTTCAGTCGCTGTAACTTGGCAACTGTTTAGCTGCTTGTGTGGAATTGTAATACATTTAGTATGAGTGTATAGTATACATGATCCCTTGTGTGATTGTTTGTATTAATATACTGCTTAATAACCACATTGGGTTTGTGGTATTCTTAAGCTATGCTGAAGTACTACCTGAAGTACTGTATGATACAGGTCTAAGTCACAGGAAGAAAACCATTTTAAATTGATTGAAGGTTGTCCTTCCAAATCAAAATACAATTTCCAACCTGTAGACTCCACTTTTAGCTTATGACCATGTGGACCATTTTTAATGTGCCTGGACCTGGAAGAGGAGAAAGTTCTCCTTCTAGCAAATGGTATTTTTCCCTTGACTGATTGGTTCAGTGTATTCCTGCATAGCCATTTTTTTTTCCACTTCCTGCATTTTGTTTTTTTTAAGGATTTTTGAAGTAACGTAGGAATCATTGCCAGGTGAGGAGAGGCTGCTTCTACTAAAGCCCTAAGGGGAACAGGTGTATTATGGTTCCAAGGATGCTTGTTGGAGGCTTTCCATCTTGCATCTTTTTTAGGGAGGGGAGGAGGACTGTGCTTTCTTTTTACTGAGAAAAAGACAGATAATCAAATTTTATTGCTAATTGTGTAATGAAATTGTGGAGGAAAAAATGTTACATTGAGTTTTTTAGCAGTGCTGCAAATAAGGCATTCTGAGATATGAATCAGGTTGCCTTTTTCATTATAGGTTGAGTGCCTACCAAAGTGAAAACTTAACATTTTTCTAAATTGTATCTGATAGAGAGGAAAGCATGTATTTTGTGCTTAACTCACAGTGCCTGAAAGGTGATCACCTGTTCTTTACTTTTATTTGAAAGACATTGGATCAATTTCCTAGAAAGTTGCTATCAGTTTCTTTTGCTTTCTGCATGCAAGCTGCAAACGCACCCCTCTGCGCTGCCGGCGTTTGGCGCTGCGTTGAGAGGGCAGCACGGGCGAGGCTTTCCTGCACGCAGGACGCAGGGGTCCACTGTGCACGGGAGGTGCTAAACAGCTCTCACGTCGTGTGGCTTTCCTGCCCGGATTGCTTTGGAGTTAACGCCTGATTTTGAAAGCAGCGTTGGCGAGATTTATCCGTGCCTCTCTGCTGCTGGGCCTATGCTATTTGCATGCCCAGAGGAAACACTGTTAACAGGACTGCGTAAATCTGAGCTAGCTTATCCCACCGCGAGATTGATTCAGTTTAAGCTGTCTGCTCACTATTATTTATTTAGTTTACCAGCTGTGTATTAATTAACATATTTTTTCTTTAGCATGTGTTGGAAGACCCTTGAATACATGGCCAAATCTAGAACATACTGTACTGTTTCATTTTCCTGCAGATCTTTGATTGTGCTAGCTTTCTTAATAGATGGGCTTTATTAAAAAAGGAAAAAAAAAAAAGGTTATATTTTGACTTCTGTTATAATGCATTGATCTCAGTGAAGTCTCTTGAGAGGGTAATTGGTATCAGATTGGGTTCTGGTGTCTCGTGTGGAATATATGCTTTCTGCTGGGCTACTAAGAGGCCAGACTATGCATCTTGAAGTAGTAAACTACCCTTGGCAACTCAGGCTTTATGAGCACAGATTGTTTGTCCTTTGGAAAGACAGGATATGAACAATAATATTTATATGGCATAAATAAAATAGTAGTTGTTTAGAAACAAAGCTCTGCTGTTAATCTAGTTTTAAAAAAATTGCAAAAGTTGGGGTTACGTATCTTTATATACTCAATGAATCCATGGTGTACCCAGCTTAAATCAGCATGATCTGGAACTACTTGTTTTTGAAATCAAACCTTTTCTGTATAAGGAAAAAAAGGGTGAGACTGCTATGATGCTTTTTATTTCCAAGAAACCTGCAGAGAAGAAAGTATGTGTTTGTGAGGTGTGTTATTATGTATGCATTGCTTGGGCAGTGTGTGTGAAAGCTTTATTTATATTATGAAACTGTTGGAATTAAAAGAATAATTAAAAAAGTCCTCCTAAGTTCCTAGGGAAAAGAATTGACTCAGAAAAAAAAACATATATATGTGCAAGAAGTGCATTGGTGTTTTCAGCCTTAGTGAGAAATTCATGTACTTGGATAGTGGAAGCTGTCTAATATAGTACGCATTTTTAGAAATAATATATGAAATTTAACAAATTGCAAAGAACCAAAAGGAAGCTTTATTATCTTAATCTTAAAGGCCCATAGTTTATGGCAGTAGTTGTTCTTAGGAAGGTCGTCGTGTTTTGTCATATCTGTTGCGCTCTCTGATGCCCTCTTCTGATACAGAAGCACCAAGCAGCTTTCTTCGAAGCTCACTTTTGGGTGTGAACTATGTAAATAACTTGTTTCAAATTATTTTGTGTTTCAGCCACCTCTGCCTAGCTGCTGCTTAAGAGAAGTGGATTGTGAATTTGAGCCTTAACTTCAGACTGTCCCTACTGCAGCATCCCATCTTTGGGATAGCGGCTCCTGGCCCCTTCAGGGAATGCACTGTGACCTCAGCGATGGTTGACACCGGCGGCCCTGGCTTGGAGTTCGACAACAATGGAATTAAAAATCAGGAGGTTAGAAAAATAAAAAGAGTGTATTTATCAACAAACTTAATAGCTTGTGTCCTGATTTGAAATAAAAAGTCACTTCAAAATGTGTAAAATGGGCTAGAAGTTATTGTGTGGGGAGGAAGAGAGTTGCCCATTTTATTTTATTAGAATCTTTATTACAGGGAAGTGAAGTATAGGTTCTGAAGTTTGCAGTCTGCAGCTCTAAGCTTGCCTTACAAAATTTTGTATAAGATACAAAGAACAAGAGTTCTTGAATATATCTTTAGGTAAGATAATCTGAGCAAAGCAGCCGAAGGATCTTTTTCAAAGTGCTGCTTAAATTTTCATATTTTGCATCGTTAACAGAAAAATACTACTTTCTCCTGTAGTAAATTGAATCTGGCAGAGTTCTACTTCTGCTACACTTTAACAGGTTAAATAACGCTATTGTAAAAATTTTGATCAGTAAATAAGTAGAAGTAGACATGTGGGCTTTTGAAGTAGCTGTTTCTTTTGTGATGGCTTATGCACTTAATCCAAAACATGAGCGTTCATAAAATACAGTCAGATGTAGATACATTGCTTACCTTATGTTGATGCATTTCATATAGTCGAGGGAGAAAGAAAAATATGTAGCTGAATGCCTTAACTAGAAGGTTTGTTCTCTGTAATACCTTAAAACTGTCTAGTGCTTTAAAGTGAGTGTTTAAAGCCAGAGAAGTATCTTGGGATTCAGGAAAGTGGCTGTGGTAGATGATTATAATATACTCTTGCTTTAGGAGAAGAAAGCTTCGTTTAAAAATATTCTGAATGATTATTATTATTATTATTACACACAATTGAATGTATGAGACAATAAAAGAAAAAGAGGTTTAGATTTCAAGAGTGCAACATTTAGAGCTCTCTTAAAATTTTTTTTCCCTTTCTATAGGAAAATGAGCCAGTCTCTGAATTCCCAGCAGTGATTGTGGAGCCAGTTCCTAGTGCCAGACTAGAACAGGGTTACGCTGCTCAGGTCCTGGTTTATGATGACGAGACTTACCTGATGCAAGATGTAGCAGAGGAGCAAGAAATTGAGACTGAAACTGTGGAAACAGGTAGACTAATGCTTTTTTTTTTCCATTAGGGTTTCTGTCCAGCTTATACTTAGAACTCCCAGATGAATGTAGTTTTGGCCATGAAGTAGAGATCACGACCTGGGATTGCATTTGTTCCCACTAGTTACCTTTCCTTAGCTTTGGTGGCAACAGGTTTGGGGCTCTGGCAGGGGAAAGTGTCACCTTAGGCGTAGGATGCTGTGTTGCAAAATGTATACACCCTCATTAGCAGCGAGGTCTTTATCAGCGAAGCCTGTCCCTATATAATTCAAGGTGTTAACTAGATACCAAAACATGGAGTTTTAAAAAATGAGATGAGCCAGGAAGCTGGTTAGAATTTAGTTTTGCAATGTGTCTGAGCCAAATAACTGAGGGGCAGCTGGCAGTATGGACTGTGCTGTTGTACTTGCCCTGTCTTTCAGCTCTTTCCTTCTCCCCTCCCCATGCTGTCCCTTTGCTGTGTGCCCCTGCCGTTTTGGTCTGAGGCATTTTATGGCTGGTTTAGTGGCAGGCCTTTGTGGCTGGTAGAATGGAGTTGGACTTTCCTTTTATGGGTGTAGAGCACAAAGGGATAAAATCAACTCAGCTGTATGATAGAATCAGTTTACAAATGAAATGTGGGGGGGAAAAAAGGCATAGAAACAGCTAACCCAGTTAGAAATAAGCAGGTATCTTTCTGTTAACCTCTCTCCAAATTATACAATTTTGAGTTTTAAATCCTGTCATGAAGGCCAAAGTCTGCTCAAGTTGTCTTAAGAAACAAAATATTTTGCTCCAATGGGGCCCAAATAACATCTGACTGCCAGGCTGCTGCTGGGCTGCCAGTCCTATTGTCCCTTCTGCCTGCTTTCTTGTGCTGCTTCTCATGCTTGTTGTGCTGCTTTTAAACATTTCAGTATGCCAGTTTTGAAGATGAGAAGCCTAAACTATTCAATATTTTCTGTTGGTTTAACTTTTTGCTGGATTATTGTGCTAATATGGAATATGTAGACAAGTGACAAAAGGGAGGACAGATTCTCTTGGGAACTCAGTAGTAAAGTGGTGAGTCCATTTGACTAGAAAAAGGATCCCTTACATTTGTATCCCAGGACAGCCTAATCCAGTATAGGAATTAAAAATCACGATGTCCAGTAGGCAAAAAAAAAAAAAAAAAAAGCCTTAGAGAATTGTTGTTGTTTTGTTGTTGTTCTTGTTTATTATTATTATTCTGTAGCACAGTAAATAACCTAGTTCCTGTTCTCATAAGATTAGGTGGGTTTAAGTTCAAGTTTCTCCCTAAATAGTGTATGCAATTGTTCATATGTTGTAGTGAATCTGGATTTTAATCTGTTTGGTTACTTCATGAAAAATATATGCATTAATTTTCTAAGGTGTACACAAAATAGTTCACATTTTTGGAGAATGCTTGAAATTCCAGTTTACTCAAGTGTGTTTTGAATTAAGGAAGCTAACTACAAATTTGAGTAATGTAAAGAAAAAATATAAAATGCATATTTTGCCTTTTATAGTTACTGTCAAACTTTCAAGGTGAGAAGTGAGAGTGTTCTTTCTAAGAGAAGCAGAGTTTTATGAATTTGACTTTGAAAACTATAGTGCTTGTGCTTTGAAAACTGTTGCACTGGAAGATGTCAGTTTTTGAACATCAAATATACTGTTCCTTATGAGTAAGATTTTGATAGTTTAATGACTACAGGACAACTGTCTTAAGATAAAGAGTTAATACCAATGAACTCCATATTTTTAAGGTGCCACTTTTGGCCACAATATCTTGGTGGAAACTGAAGTTATAAACCTGTAGTTCTTTTAGATTCTTTTTTTAAGCTGTTGCTCAGAGAAAGAAACATGACTGCTTACAAGTCTTCATATTTGAAAATACACTCTTAAAAATTATACACCAATATACTTAATATTGAGAGTTTGGGACAGGACACTTGAAGAGATGTCTTTGCTGTGGATGGATTTTTTTTGATAACATTCACTTTATAGTTTAGTTCTTAAAAATTTAGTATAGTACCATTTGAAATGTTTGCAAATCTTCATTATACTTAAAACCTTGTTTTAATATTTTTGAAATAAAAACTTCAATAAAAGATGACCTGTACCCAAAAGCCAAATTATGAGAATGTAGATGAGTAATCTAATCTAATGAAGGTTTTTAGATGCCAGTAATGAACATTAGGACTCCAAAAAGCCTGTGGGGAGAGATGCAATCTCCCACTGCACATCTTTTCCTCTTCAAGTAACGATTAAAAGAGTGTAGTATGTATAGTACACATGTATGGTGTGGTATGTGTGCTATTCCTCCAGTGCAGAGTTCATGCTCTAGTTTTACCCTGCAGTGAAAGATGCTCCTGCCCAGAATCTGCAGCTACTATGGCTAAAAGATGTGCATGAGTTGGATTGCTCCCCTGGGGACAGTTTTGTGGGAGTGTGTGTGTTGACCAAGGAGAGTTCTCTTTCTACCAAGAGACTTTCTGAATTAATAGCTCCTGCAGAGAAGTAAACGCTGGAGAGAAGGGACTGCAGAGGCCCCAGGAAGTGTTGACTTGGGCGGTGTTAGGAGTGAGATGCGGGAGTGTGAATCTAAGTGTGTGGTTTTCTTTTTTTTTTTCTTTTTTTTAATTCTTATCATTAAAGATGCTGGGCTCTGAGTCAGAGTGAAAGAGGTTTCTAAGTGCATTAAGATATTTTTGAAGGAGATGCTATGTAGTAATGCTCATTTAAAGAACTTTTTAAGATGCTCATTTAAGATGCTCACTTTAAAAGTATCTGCCTTAATTATGCTAGTGGAACCCTATTTTAGTTACACACAACAAACTGATTTCTGAGCATGCTAGAAAAAGAAAATATTGTCATATTGATCTCATCTGACGTGCTTCACAAGGGTCAGAATAAAATCTCCTTGATGCTTAATAAACACACAGCTCTTACAGCAAAAAGGAGTATTAATACCCCGTTTAGATGCAGGCTCCATGGATAGTATACATCAGAAAGAATTACTATCAGTAGTAGAAATGATATGTATTCTCATGTCATAATGTAAGTCTAATTGTCAGTGTCTCTGCCCTGCGTCAGGCCACGGACCGGATTTTTTTGTTTTATTTTTTTCATTTCTTGTGACAGCCTGTTTGCAATTCCACTGATTACTTGTTTGAACGCATTAGCAGTTCTTACCAAATAATCTCTTCCAAGAGCCCCGAGCTAGCTTACATCTAATCTCAGTTAATGTTGTGTTTGTAGTGTTTGTAGCCTTCAGAAATGTGGGTCAGTAGCCTTTGTGACACATGCAATGGGCCAGCTGATCTGGTAAAAATTTAGCTATGACATTGAAGAGCTGCTCTGTGCCGTGTGCTGGAGGATTCTCTTTGTAGTTTGTGGTTCTGTGATTGGATCTGAGCCTGTGTTGCGGGGCCTCTGGCAGTGCAGGTCCAAGGGCAAAATTGGGGCCTATGATGTAGGGGTTTTTTGTTGTTTGATTTTTTTTATTAACTAAAAAAGCATTTGAATTTAAAAACTTAATGTGTTTTGAGATCATGATTCAACTAAAATATTCTGTGTAATCATTATAAATAACCATAGCTGTTTTTTCATCAAACAAGTCTTAGAAGAAGGAGTTAGTTTACCATTAAATCTCAAGGGAAAAAAAAAAAAAAAAAAAAAACTGCCTGTGTGCCTGGAGTGGAAAAAAAGTATTTACAAATGAGTTACCTAGGGAAAAATGTAAACAATTTGGTCTTTTCAGGTGCCCGTATGGTGTTCTCAATGGAAACAAACAGCACCTCTTAGAATGTTTTAAAGGCAAAGTGTAAGTGCTGGGTTGAAGTAGTGTTTGCATTGCTTTTCCTAGGTGTGGTATCACTCGTATGGATTATCCTTTTAGAGCACTGAGGGCTGAGCTACTCTGCTGCAACGCTGCGGTTTGCCGCAACTGTGATTGCGTTGGTACTGAATCCATCCCTCTAATCGATTTGTGATATTCACATTTTGTTCACTTGTATTTCCAGAGTAGGTATCTATTCTCCAAGTAGTTTGTCCCTCAAGTTTAGGCTTTATTCAGCAAAACCTTTGTGATTCCTGTGCCAGCAGAATCTGCTACCTTCACAGAAGCAACCGTTTGTACAGTTCTGTTTGTCTGCCATGGCCCACGGGCCATAATATTGGTGCATATGTTGGCTAACCCAGTATTTGGATTTATCAGTTATGCAGTGCCCAATCTGCTGGACTTCCACATAGGTGATGTCTAATCTTGTAGTCAATGCAAAAGAGGAATATTTAAGGAGTAGAATAATGGTGTTTTTAAAATGCCACAAATTATCTGGAGCTACATCATTACAATTGATTTTCCCTCTCTTTTTAATTATTCATCAGAATAGCAAGTACAGGTTTGGTGTTTGTTTTAATCACAACAGTAATATCAAAGAAGAGAAAACAAAAATACTGCTTTAGAGAGGTTGAGATATCATCCAACTTGTGAACTGTCACCACATTTTTGAATTTTATGTTCCATCAGAAATCCTCCCTGTGGTTCAAGCTGAAGGCTCTGTTTTAATTCTAAAAATGTTATTGCCGCAGGGAGGTAGAAGACCTGCATGAAAAAATGGGGATCTGAAAATGAGCCCCCCCAGGATTACGATCTGATGGAAAAATATTGAGCTACAAAGACAACAATGCTGGTATGTTTGTCTATAATCTCTTAAATTTGTTTTTCCACCAGTTGAAACTATCATATAAACGGATAGTCATCCTTAAGGAGGGAGGAGGTGAATAAATGATAAGTTGAGGCTTAACTCCTACCCTAAATTAACAGAATGCATGAAAAAATGTATATTTAAGGCAAATTTCTTTTGAAAGGCAAAATTTTACTGCTTACGCTGCTACCACTGTTGGAACCAGTCTTGTACATTTGCTTAAAATATTTAGTTATTACCTGTTCTTGTTTGCTTTTATATACCTTCTTTCATTATAATGAAAACTGCTTCCTTTTGACTTCCTTTATCTGA